AGAACACCAAAGTCGCCAAGGAATGAGCCCACTGGGGCCCAGTAGGCTGCAGCACGGACCTGCAGGGCCACCGTCCCCCGAGAACGCCCTCTATTGGCTACTTGGGTTCACGTTCTGGTGCTGGGACCTAAGCTGTGTGATTTTGGGCAAGTGAATCCCTCTCTCTGTGCCTTCACAGAACAGGGATGATCATATTGAAACCAAAAACTCAAAAAACAGGGATTAAATCAAGGCACGGATACGGAGCCCCTGGAGCAATGCCAAGGTCAGCAAGTGTTAATAAAGCCCCAAAGTGACAGGACCAGCCAGCCGTGCACAGAAAGTTCTCGACTTTCAGCCAAAATAAACCTTTCCGCATTATAACTCGCTTTATCTCTGGTATTTTGTTATAGTAACAGCGGGCAACGAATTAAGGTAGTTGAAAGCATAAAACTCGCATCAGCATTTTTGCTTGGGCTCGGATCCTCCAGGCCACTTGGCTGGGTGGTCCCCTCAGCCGGTCACTTCTCTGAACACCCATTTCTCCCTCAGGAAAGCGGAGCCACCTGCTTTACGGGGCTTCAGAAGACGTACATGCAGGGTTCCCAGGAAGTGGGGTCTGAACCTACCCATGGGCAAGAGACTCAGGGGAAGGGCGGGACCCGTGAGGACCCCAGGGAAGGCCAGCGGACCTGGGGAGGTCCCTGGGCAAGACCGGCTTGGGCCTTCCCACAGCGGGTCTTTGGCTGTGGGCGGTCACAGGCAGAAGTTCTAGAACCTTCCGGGCACTTCCTGGCCAGGTGAGTCCAGCTTGGACAACTTATAGGAACTGCAGAACCGCGAGAAAGGAGTAGCCAAGCCCGACAGTGGACAGGCAGGGAAGGGGAGCTGGGCACTCTCCAGAGGAAACAGAAATCCTAGAGGCTCGGGAGGCTGAGGCAGGAGGATCGCAAGGTGGAGGCCAGCCTCAGCCACTTAGCAAGGCCCTGAGCAACTTAGCGAGACCCTGTCTCTAAATAAAATAAACGCGGTGTGGTCACCCTGAGGCTGCACCCTGCCCACGGCCCATGGCAGGCCCGGGGCCTCTCACCTGTTCCATGTTGACCTCGAAGGGCCCGGCGGACTGGCACTCGGGACAGGAGCCCGGCTTCACCTCCTGGTTCTGGGACTGGCAGAAGGGACCGAGGACGAAGCTGCACTTGTTGCAATTGTACTTGACCATGCTGAGCTGCGGCAGGACGCCCGTGCAGCTGGTCACCACGCCGCTGGTGCGGATGAGCTGGTTTAGGTGCAGCTGCCTGGGGAGGCCGGGAGGGGAGGCCAAGGCGCGTCAGAGGCCGGGAGGGGAGGCCAGAGTTGCGGGGCACCTGGCGCGCCACCTCCCCTGAGCCACCTGAACTTACTAGGATGAGGAAGGACCCTCCCTGGCCACAGCCACCCCACCTGAGCGTCCTGCGGTCATGACCGCCCTGGACCCCAGGGTCCCCTCCTCAAGTCACCTCAGGGAGCGCAGCTCCTCCACCAGGGGCAGGTGGGAAATGCGGACGTGGATGTGGCTGGCGATGCGGTCGTACTTGGGGTACATGGCCAGCACCACCTCGAGGGCCGCCTCGTCGAAGATCTGGAGCAACTCGGCGGGCGCCTCGGGCAGGAAGTAGGCCAGGACGTGCTCGCGGGCCGCCAGGTCCTCGTAGTTGACCACCAGGCTCTCCTTGTTCTCTGCAGGTGACAAGGGGGACGCTCGGCTCACGGCCCAGGACGCTCACCCACCCCCCGTGTTGACATCCAGCCAGAAAGCCCCCCTGGAGGTGGCTGTGGGACCCGGATAAGTGACACGTCCCCCATTCCCAGCTCCCCAGAGGGGCGAGACCCACAGAGACCAAGGCCGGAAAGGAAACTAGTAGCTCGGGAGGCTGAGGCAGGAGGATCACAAAGTGGAGGCCAGCCTCAGCCACTTAAGACCCTAAGCAGCTCAGTGAGACCCTGTCTCTTGATAAAATATAAAAAAAGGCTGGGGACGGGGGCTCAGGGACCCTGGGTTCAATCCCTGGCACCCAAAAGAAAACCCCAGATCTGTAGCCAATCTGCCCCAGTACCTTTGCACATGTCGCTGATGCGCTCCTTGAACACGTTGTGCCCGTGGCCGTCCACGTGCGTGCGCAAGAAGTTCTTGAAGCGGTGGTGGATCTCCAGCCGCGGGCCGGCCATGCTCACCCACTCGCGCACCGAGTGGCCCTTGAGGTCCTCCAGGTTCTCAATGCTCTCGATCATCTCCTCGTCCTCCTCGCCCTCCTCCGTGGCGCGCTCCACCTGGCGCCTCTTGCGTGCAGGGCGCTCATCGTCCTCCTCGTCGCTGTCTGCCGAGGCCGGGGACAACTGCGTATGAGGCCGGTCCCCTGCGTGGCCCCGTCCCTCCCCTCCCACAGTGCACAACCTGACCTACCGTACAGCAGCCCCCTGCGCATGCGCCCCAGGCCCCGGCCAGCCTCCCGGTCTCGCTGCCGCATGACCCGCTCAGCGGCCTCCCTCTGGCTGGCGGTCAGCTCCTCCACGTCCTCGTCATCCAGGGCCAGTCCCTCGGTCTCGTAGGCGTCCAGCTCTGGGATGGCCCGGTAGTCCCTGAGAGAGTCCCCAAATGGAACCAGTCAGTGACCACCCCGGCCCCCAAAACGCACCCAAGGCCTGGAGCTGCCCCATGAGGCTCAGAAACCGCAGCCCGCCACCTCCAGGTCGGAAAACCGCACGCCTGTCTTCCCAGCGGCTCGGGAGGCTGAGGCAGGAGGATCGCAAGTTGGAGGCCAGCCTCAGCCATTTAGCAAGGCCCTGAGCAAACTCAGCCAGACCCTGTCTCGGAGGGGCACTGTGACTCATGACCTTGTCCCCCACCCCCCAGACCCTGGCCCCAGCTGTTCTGAAAGGCGAGAAGGCACCCGACCCAGAACTTTCCAGCACCCTCAGCGAGGTCACCAGGACAAACGGGCTCCCTGCCACCAAGCCCAGAGCCCGCAATGAAGGTACCTCTCCATGCCGTCTCCAATAAGCTCCTCCCCATCCTCCTCTTCCTCCATGGGCCCCTCGGTGCCCAGCAGCCCCTCAGACTCATCCTCAAAGGGAGGAAGGTCACGGCCAGGGCTAGAGGTCAGGGCATCGGTCCTCCGGGAGCTCCGCCCAGGGCTGGAGGTCAGGGGGTCATTGGCTCTCCGTCGCCGGGCAGGACTGGACGCCAGGGAAAGAGACTCGGATGATTCCTGCAGAAGAAGATGCCACCATCCAACACCCAGCCGACGTCTGAGGACGAGTTGCAACCTCAGGACCTTTGCACTTGCGGTGCCACGCTGCCTGCATGCTCTCAACTGAGCAAATATCTCAAGTGACAGTTGGGAAACAACTTGTCACAACCCCCAACGCTGCGGATCACTCCCGTTACCCTCCATTTTCTTCATGAAAAACATTCCCGTGAAGAAGTGCAGCGCCAATCATCCCAGCGGCTCGGGAGGGAGGCTGAGACAGAAGGATTGCAAACTGGAGGCCAGCCTCAGCCATCGGGTAAGGCACTAGGTGACTTAGGGAGATCCTGTCTCAATTTTTTTTTTTTTTTAAAAAGGACTGGGGACAGGGCTTGGTGGTTTCGTGCCCCCTGGGCTCGGTCCCCAGAACCAGAAAAAAAAAAAAGTGCAGGAAGAGGTGGCGGCCCGGCGCCTAACTTGTGCACGCCCCGCCAGGTATACAGCTGGCGCCCAAAACGTGCGCGGAGTGGAAAATGAAAGGGGCCGGGAGGGTCGGGCTTAGGGAGGACCACGGGGACGCGGGTGTCCCCAGGCGGGATCGAGCAGCGCGGGTCCCCATCACCACGCGGGTCTTGCAAGTCAGATGGGGACAGAGGGGACCGACCTCCCCCGGCGTCCCCACCCCGGGCCGGCCGCACAGGGGCGACACGCGGCCTCCACCCGCCGTCTCGGCGCTCGCACGCCACCCCCGCGGCCCGGCCGGTGTCCCCGCGAGCCCGGCCACCGCGCGCTCACCGCCATCGCTGCGCCGCGCTCCGCTCCGCAGCTCCGGCCGCCACCAGGTTTCGCGCCAAAAGCAGCCCACGTGACCCGCCCGAGCCCGGGAAATCGCCCGGAATAACATTACGTCATGACGCAGCGTCCGTTTGCGTCAGGGGGCGGGCCAGTGGGCCGTACCGCTTGAGGCCACGCCCACGCGGGCTGAGGCCACGCCCACGCCGCCTCCTGGAGCTCGGCGCTCGCTGCGCTTCACAGACCCGTAGCCCAGCGGGAGCTGCCTGCCGCCGCGGGGGACTTGGGGGACCGGCCCCGCCGACGGAGCGGCGTGACCTTTATCAAGGTAGGGCCATTTTATAGACGAGGCCACGGAGTCCCAGAGCCTTGGTGGAGGAGCACGGCTTCCTGTCTGAGGAGCAGACCTGTGCACTTCTGCAAAAGCTCTAAGGCTCCGCACTCTGGTTGGGTGGAAGTTCATCTGATAGTCTAATCCGAGTCATCCTCATCCAGAGGAGCCAAGAGGCAAAGAGGGTGTCCAGCTAGAAGGAATGGCATGTGCGAAGCTGTCCCTCTGCTCGCGGAGTGGGCGTGGAAGCCATTCCTTGGATCTGGTTAACAGGTTGTTAACCCAAGGGAGGGACATCACCAAAGATCGCATCACAAAAGATCTGGAGGTCCTCCTAGGGAGTCTGAGCTGAGGGTCCCAGGGATTGAACCCAGGGGTGCTTCACCCCTGAGCCCCGTCCCCAGCCCCTTTTTCTATTTTATTTAGAGACAGGGTCTCGCTGAGTGGCTCAGGGCCTTGCTAAATGGCTGAGGCTGGTCTCCACCTTGCGATCCTCCTGCCTCAGGCCTCCTGAGCCGCTGGGACAAGTCCCTCATTCTTCCTACGGTTGATCTTCTACCTTCTGGAGCACCTCTCTCAAAGTCCCCCATTCACTAGTCACTTGGTCATCCAGCCTGATGAGCTCAGTGACATCCACAGGGTCAACCAGAACAAGGCTTAGAAGAATGTCACACGGTGGCTTAGCCCCTTTCAGACTAGCAAAGGGTGGTCCAGTCCCCCCAGGGCCTGGGGCAAGACCGCCCTTGCCACCTTGATCCCGTCCTGTAAACGCAAAGGATTCCTGATAGGGATAGAAGAGGGGTGTGGCCAGATGGAAGGCCACACCCCAAGTATCTGTGGCCTCCCAGAGGATCAGTCTACACTAGGGAGATGAATTCAGCCAGGCCCGCTCACCCATGAGGCACAGAAAAGTAGACAGGGTAAGAAAAGTGACCCCGAGTATGTGAGGAGAGGGATTATTCATCTTCTTGTGGTGGGGGCCAACCCCCCAACATGATGGAGGTGGTCAAGAGGGGTGCTAGGCGGGCCCACTTCTGTCATCCCAGCAGCTTGGGAGGCTGAGGCAGGAGGATTGCAAGTTGGAGGCCAGCCTCAGCCATTTAGTGAGGCCCTGAGCCACTCAGGGAGACTCTGTCTCTAAATAAAATAGAAAAGAGGGCTGGGGACGTGGCTTAGGGGTTAAGCACCCCTGGGTTCCATCCTGGGTACCCAAAATTAAAAAAAAAAAAAGGTGGCGTGGATCTCTGCCAGTTTTTCTCTGGTGTGGGTTGTCTTGGTCGGTCGTGGGTGAGGTTGGTGTTTGAGGACTTTCTCTTGATTTTTATCATTTAGACCAAGGAACCCTGGTGGGCCTGCTGCCAACTACTGAGCGCATCTGTCTTTTAGTGACGTCTTCAACCTTGAGGGTCAAGTGCACCCCCTTGGTCTCTGATGGCTATGCACGACCAATGGCTTTTTTTGGCTTTATTTAGCAGGGATTCAATCCAGATTGAACCCAGGGGTCTTCACCCCTGAGCCCATCCCCAGTCCATTTTATTTTTTTATTTAGAGACCAGGGTCTCACAGAGTGGCTCAGAGCCTCACTCAGAGGCTGAGGCTGGACTCCAATTTGCAATCCTCCTGCCTCAGCCTCCTGAGTCTCTGGGATGACAGGCGTGCGCCCCCTGCGACCAGCTAAACTGCTATTTATTGAACTTTGTGGAGGTCACGCTCTGCCCTGTGTGTAGGAGATAACGACAGGGAATGAGCCCTGCCTCAGCTCTCATAGGGAAGGAGGTGACGTGGATGCCCTCAATTATTCCACAAATACATAGAATCCACAGACACCTACAGGTGGGGTCCAAATTTCAAGAGCATAAAAATGCAGAATTGTGTATTTTGGTAGTTATAGAACCCCCCCCCCCTGTGTGCTCCAGACGAAGCCTGTAGTCTTAAGACAAACAGAAAAGAAAGCAGGTATGGTGCAGTCCCAGCAACTGGGGAGGCTGAGGCAGGAGGATCGCAAGGTGGAGGCCAGCCTCAGCCACTGAGCGAGGCCCTGAGCAACTCAGGGAGACCCTGTCTCTAAATAAAATGCAAAACAGGGCTGGGGACGGGGCTCAGGGGTTAAGCGCCCCTGGGTTCAATCCCTGGTGCCCCCTCCCCAAGTAAAATGATATAAAAATTGGCGTCCCAGCTTTGTCGCTTCCCAGTTGAGTGGCCTCCGTTTTCCCGCCGCGGGGTTGTTAGGAGGAGTGGCTGGGACGCTTAGGTGGCGGGCCGCGCCGGGGGAACTGCGTCGTGCAGAGGGAGGGACGTTCCTGCCCTTCCTTCCTCGGGCAGGTGACCAGAGGTCACCAGTGCTGGGCGCCTGGGGCGGTGGCACGCGAGAGGGCGGTCCCTGGAGGCTCCGCCCTGGACCGACCAAAGGCGGCCACCCTGGCTGGGGGAAGTGGCCGGCTGGCGGCGATCTGGTCGGTTGACAGCTGCTGACAGCTGCCGGCGCGATGGGGAAGCGGGTGGCCTTCAGCCCTCCAGCCCGCGGTTCCGCACCGCTTTCCGGGTGAGCCACCCAGGGGCTACCTTTCCCCGCAGCAGCCTGGTGCTGTCTCTTTAAGAGATTCGCGGGGCGCCCCGCCTCTTAGAGATCTGATTGGTCGCCCCCGCTCGTTTCGGTAAGAGGTCTATCCCGATTGGCTACCGAGGGCCGGGGGGGCGGGCCTGAATGTTTCAAGTAGGGACTGTGGATGTTTTCGCAGTTTCGGATGGGCGAAAAACACGCTCCAGCGCTCTGGGTCGCCGCTGCTGGGAAGGGCTGCCCGGTGTCCTCGGGGCTGGCGGGCCCTGCGCGCTGGTGACGTCCCTCCCACCTCGCCCACCCCCCCCCTTCGCGTGGAACCGGCTTCCGAGACTCTTGCGCGACGCTCCCCGTCCCCTGCCGCCGACCCTGGCCGCTGAAGGCCGGAGTCCCCGGGCCTGAGCTGGGTCCTGGCACCCGGCGACAGTGGATGGGCGGCCCGGGCGGCCAGGCCTGAGCGCTGCCCCGGGGCTCTCAGGTGAGAAGGCGACCCTCTCCCCACCTCCTGCCACCTCCAGCCCGGCACGAAGTCCTCCCTCCTCCTGTAGGGACAGTGGCCCACCTGTCCCCAAGAAGGTCCCCCAGGAAGGTCCCCGTCCCACTCAGGGCTCAGCCTCACCAGGCAGCTTTGGGGAAGTTTGAGAGAGGCCTCTGGGGGGGAGGGTGATTTACAGGAAGAGGGCAGAGGGGACTTGGGGACCCTTGGGGACAGCGACAGGGGAGGGGTCGGGCAGGGACCTGGGCCCCCTGCGGCCTGAAGGGTCACAGCGTCCCTGTGCATAAACACGGTGGCAGCACCTGCCCCCAGAGGGGGCCTGCACTGTTTATAAGTCTACTCTGGGTAAAGGCCAAGGGACACCTTGAAGGCCAAGGACTCTACCCCCAGGGGACCGAGGTCACAGGCGAGTGGCCAGCGATGGCAGACTGAGTGTCCCCTGACCTCTCAGCGAGCTGGGCACTGTGGGGGGACCCCCCTCTCCCCGCAGCCCCAGCTGTCAGTCACGCATGTCCTCACGTTTTATTGAGAACCTACTTTGTACCAGCTCTGCTCTGGGGGACTGGGCCATGTGGTTTCCCCCCACCTCCACTTTGGTCCTGGGAATTGAACCCAGGGGTGCTAGACCTCTGAGCCCCGTCCCCAGCCCCCTTTTTTAACTTTTTATTTAGTGACAGGGTCTCACTGAGTTGCTGAGGCTGGCCTCCAATTACTGGCGATCCTCCTTCCTCAGCCTCCCCAAGCACTCTGCCCTACTTAGGACGGCTTAGAAAGGAGGTCAGGCCCTGTAAACAAAACCCAGGTGAGCTGGCCCGGGAGACATAGTTAAGGTGGCTTTCTCAAAGGAGGTAATGACAGGGCTGAGACTCAGATGACGAGACCTGGACCTGTGGGCTGGCTAGAGGACAAGCCAGCACCTGGGCCCCTAGGTAGGAGTGTCACCGGGAGCTCGCTCCTTGGTCCTTGTTCCAGATGCCAATCCATTAAGGAGGTTTTGAGAAAAATGAAAAAAAAAGAAGGCTTCTTGCTTTGCTAGCTAAGGAGAGATTATCC